TTTATTATATATATATATATATATTGGGTTTATATAGTTTAAAATATTTTCAATTTAATCTCCATAATTTTAATTATTTTAACTATTTCTATTTGACATATTGTTGTTGTAAATAAGCAGAGATGGTATAGTCATGTTGATTGGAAGAAAAAAAGTGATGAAAAGGGGACATAAGGTGGTAGGGATGTGAGAAGTGAATCTTTGCCATTCTGTTTGGGGGCAGCTGTTTGCCCTACAAACAAAGCTTTTTATGCAACTCAGAACATTCCCCTACCAAAAATAATAACAATCAAACCCTAGCTAAAAAAAAGTACAAGTGTGTTAAATATATATATCTTATGCATTTTTTTTTAATGAAAAATATTTTTTTCTCGTCATTTAAAACTTATTTTAGTCTTTATATTTTCAATAATTCATCAGTGAAATCCCACGTCGATTAAAGAGGAACGTAACTTCTCTATACTGTCTTCATGTAAAGAAAATATCAATTTTACTTTTATTCAAAGGATTGATATTATCGAGGAGGATTTTTTTATAAGTGGAATAAATGCTCCCTATATAGATAATTAAGGTCAATCAAAACATATTATGAATTAGTCAACATTAATATTATAAAAAAGTTGAGGTCAATTCCTCAAAAACTTCCTCAAGAAGAAAAAAAAAAGTTGGAAGTCAATTAATGGCACATAATTTGAGATAGTCATAGCTTGACAAATAATGGGATAACACAATCAAAGCAACTTCATTTAATATTTAATATGGAATGTTACAAATCAAGCCAGACAAATATTGCATTATGAAAATAAATTACTTAAATTAGATTGTATACTAGGATTGATGGTATTTCTGCTCATATCAAATTAAAATTAAACATATACTATTAAGACGTTGGAAATTCAAATCTTTCTCTCTCCAAGCTAAAAGATTAAATAAGGTGGGAGAAGTTACAAACTAATTAACACAAAAATCATTTTGTAGAACCTTAGAGGTTTCTTGGAACTACAGCTGAACTTACTAATGTATTTTAAAGCTACAACTCATACATATGATCAACTACTCCACCCTATTTGAAAATATAATTCTAGTTATAGTTCTAGAGTTCGATGATTCAACCTAAAAGTGGTGGCTTATTAAATGAGAATTAAATTTTGTTTGGTTCTGAGGAAGTATTACGAGCTTATAGTTTATAAAAGTCAGCAGGCAGTTCTATCTGTACATTTCAAAAACTGAGTTCTATAGCTTATATATTTAGCAAACTTGTAGTAACCTCCTTACTAAACAGATGCCGCCGGCACCCAACTTCATAGGACACTCAATACCAATCAACTAAACCAGGAAAGCACACTATTTCTTCAATCTTCGTAGGACATTCAATGCAAATCAAAATAGGCAAGTGAAGAAGAAGAAGAAGAAGAAAACTGAGATAGCTTTCAAAACCAATCAACTTAATACACTACAAGATTGAAAAATGGCAGAGAGAAAAAGATGGAAGAGGAAATATATAGCAACTGTGCAAGTTTGAGAACACAAAAACAAACTTTTAGTTGTTCTCCACCAAAATAATCTTCTTATTTAAGAATAGGCCACAAACACTCCTTAAAAACCTCGATCAATTTTGTGAGATCCCACGTTGGTTGGGAAGGAGAACGAAACAATCTTTAAAAACTTTGAAGGGAAACCCAAAAGGGAAAGCTCAAAGGGACAATATCTGCTAACGGTGGGCTTGGACTGTTACAAATTTCTTGTTCTCAACTTACATTTTCATAAACCGCTTGTGAATTCATAATCAAATATATCCCATATAATTTCAGTAAGCATTTCCCAAAACAAAGCAGCAGGAGTTTATGTTAAATGGTAGTAATTGGTTCAAATAGTTTTTTCAAATGGGATGTCTCATACAAAGCAAAGGGGGCCGCAAAAGGATGGATATCAAAGCCAAGCAGGGAGCCCATGACAAACTGTAAAATGTATAGAAGTTATAGACCAACAGACAGACCTTGAGAGGAGTATGATGAATAACTAATTAGAAGAACCTATTATACTGGCCAGTAAGAGAATCCATGAGATTTGAATAAACACTATAGAGGGAATATTGTCGAAGGTTTTTTACTTCATACCAGGTGTTTAGCGCTGCAAGATGCTTATCTGTGCCTGAAAATGTCAGCTGTATTCCCAGACTACAATCCACATTGCCCCCTCGGTTTCTACAACTTGATGTTCTGATGGCACAATCCTGATTGTTAAGGCAGACATAACTAGATCTGGACTTGCCTGAGCACGAAGCACATCCATCTCTCTTCCAGTACAAGTTCTGCAGCCTGCCCTTCTGAAACTCAAGTACCTGCTCTCACCAAAATCGATTTCATTCATTAGATTATGTGAATTCATCAGCTTAATTTTATTTCTAACAAAACCTACAACTTCTCTAGCATCTACTTGCAGAGATTTTAAATCTTACCAGGGTGAAACTCGTCACTATGAATGTGCCATTAGCGACAAAGGCAGGCTGAGACCTTGCAGCATACTTTCTTCCAGCAAATGCCACCATGTAACCACCAAAAGTATCCTGGAAATAGCGAGGCATCAAGAATTATGGCTATTTCTAGTACTTATAGTGATGTTTCATTAAGAAGCAGCGAAATCTTCTTTAGCAATTAGGGATGCATTCAAGTCAGATTCGACATTTGATTAATCAGGGGCCATTACATAACTGCAAAGCTTCATCATTCTATAAATGCCATATGAATACTGATCTGCTAAGCACAGACGTGAAGAGTACAAAAACTTATCCAGTCCCCTCTATGAACACATTTCCTCAAACGAGATCTGATAAGCATACCAAGTAACCGGTCATTGAGAGACGAGACTCAGTGGCATAGATTGCAAGCTTATAACCGACTAAGAGATGGAAGCAAGAACGAATCACATGAAGGTTCTATCTATCTAATTGTCTCCATGAGAACGTCCCATCAAACAATAAATTCATAACAAGTAATCTGACACTGAGAGGCAAAACATTGCGCCATATATTACGAAGTTAAAACCAACCAAGAGAGGGAAGCGAGGATGAAGAACAAGTAGACTATCGATCTACACATTTAGTCAAACAAGTTTTTAAACTCATACCAAGCAATCTGATATTGAGAGACAAGACACTGTTTCATAGATTGCGAAAGATACAACCAAGTAATAAAGGATGTTACAAGATGGCCGTTCGATTCAAAGAATAAAGTAACATCAAGAATCCCTATGCTAAATCCACGTGAAAACTAGAAGAATATAGCCTACTTCTACCAACGTCTACAAATGGAAGGAAAACCGGAATAAAAACTTCGACCAAATTAGAAACTACACTGATCTGAGTGAGTATTCGAAATAATCCGAATCATGAAATCAAGATCGAGTTTGTACCGGAAAGAAATCGGAAGTATTGACGGAGAGAAGGGAGATCTCGTCTACTCGAGGTCTGAAAACAGCAAGCTGTGAGTTGAGCGATGCCAGAGAAAGACGACGGTCACACGGCGAGAGCTGATGGGACTGGTTAAAGAAGAATGAGTCCCTGGAAGAGAAAGCGATTCCGAAGGTGAATCCGTCGGACCTCTGAATCTTGGTGTCCGCACAAGGTTGGTATACATTGTTCGTATTCACAGCTTCAGAGTGAAGCATCAGCGCCATTAGCAAGAGCAGAAGCTCCATCGGCACTGTTACGAAGACCCTCACCGTCGCCATTATTGGAAGCTTTCCAGACGCCTTTTAGATTTGCGGATGTAAAGCAGAGGAATCGGGATTGAAAGAAGTGGAAACTCTTTATTCTTGGGGGATTTGAAAAATAATTTCCGAGTTGTTTTGTAACTTATCGAGTAATCTGGATTATTAATAATAATAAAACATACCTCAACACCAAATCTGTGTCGGGGGGAAAATACGTATTCCTTTTTTAAAATCTCCCTCTAAATATAGATGCGCTCTTCTCTCTCTCTTTTAACCATAACTGTTTTTATTGTTTTTTTATTTTTTACATAAGCTACGCTAATTTATTACAATTTTACTGAAAAAATTTGAACACGAGAGAAAAACATTTTTGAATCATTTAAGACTTAATATTTGAAATATTTGGAGAATATATTTATTATAGAATATATATATTTATAATTATTAATATTTTTTTTTATGTTTTAATTAATAATATATTTTATTTTATTCTCAACGTTTAATTAGTTTATATTTTCGTTATTTATATGTATTAGTTTGTATATTATTTAACTCTGTATTGTCCCATTCTTATACCCTTTATGTGGGTGAAAGAGAAATTTAGACTATGTTACGTTTAGTCTACATTTATGAGCATGATAAAAATAGCTCATAAATTTTACTTCTCTCTACTCAAGGTAATACGGTAAGTTTGTTACTCTATACGGTAAGTTTGTTACTCTACCCACCCAAGGTTATATACGGTAAGGTAAGTTTGTTACTCTTACTAAGTTTGTTACTCTTACTTGCTTGTAAGCCGTTGTTACTCTTTTGCTTGCTTATATAACTGTTACTCTTACTTGCTTGTAAGCCGTTACTCTTTTGCTTGCTTATATAACATCTCTTTCGAAAATCTCTCTCTGCCTTCGTTTTCTACAACTTTCTCGCATATGTCGCTTGCCCGTAGGCGACGTAAGAACGAATTGGCTTAGTCGTTAAAAATTGAAACCAAAGAGTTCAAGTTCAACATGTAAATTGCACTAAATTCAAGTATTTATTGTAGGTGGTAGAATTGGTCATTGTATAATTTACTTAACAAATATATATATACTTTACCCATTAGATAACAATCAAAATTTAAATTTTTTATTTTTGAAAACCGTCTTCCAAATTTATTTACCATTAGCCGTGGCAACCTTTCGTAGCCTTTGTTATTGCAGTATACAAATGTCACTTAATATGACGTGTTCACCGGAATAGCTCACAAGGTGTACCTCCAAAAAGATGTTTTCTTATATGAACTCATGAAGGAAGAAGGAACAGAATAATAGATTTTTTTTTTCCTAATAAAATAATTTAATTTACGTGGATATGAAAATAAGTCGTGAACAAAACAGGAACAAAAAATAAAATAAAAAATGAAGAAGAAAATACTAGTAGGTGCTAGTAACATCTACTTTACTCTGCAGATACCGGAAAATCTGTGGAATGGAGAATCTTGGCTTTTCTCTGGACTTTACACACAGCTTTGCTATTGATAGAAGATTTCTCACCTCTTTGTTGTCAAAACTATTTCCCAGATCAGGGTCGATCATCTTGTTCATTGATCTCGCAAAGTTTGTCCCTTGGATCCATTTGATGAGATCGCCGCTTGTCCCATCTGATGATTGTCCCGTTATGAGCTCCAGGATTAGGATTCCCAGCTGGTAAATTATGTTTCCACATTTCTCATCCATGAAATCTGCAGTGGTTATCAGAAGACAAGGAAAACTTCAATCTGGGGAGAATGATACTGCAAATCTCTACCATTTCTTTATTTGAGAAACTAACCATCTGCCTTTGATGCATCTGCCTGATCACCGCTGCTTACCGGGGAGCAGAGAAAGCCAACATCAGATATCTGAGCAGGTAAAAAGGATGAATTTTAACATGTTTTTTCACAAAATTCGAGCGAGGAAACTCCAAAGATTATTTCGGTACCTTTGCAGTGAAATTTTCATCTAACATAATAGTGTTTGAGGAAATGGAGACATGACACATTGGGGGGTCGGTGAAAAGAAGCAAGTATTCCTGCATCAAAGATAATTTAACTATGGATGCTTTAAGCCCTTTGTTTCGAATGTTATTCGAGGAGGTCATGGGAACTCACTTATGATATATCAAGTGGCAATAGTGTCGTTAAGTTTAGAGAACTTACCAAGGCAGCAGCCACTCCTGCGGCTATTTGCAGCCTCGCCCTCCAATTCAAGGGAGTCCTGAGAGGATCTGCCACAGAAGGACCATTGTGACTCAATCATCTATGTCAAATGTACACAAAACAATGCTTTCAAATAACTCAGTTCTCGATGATACCATTAAGATGATCCCTCAAGCTTCCATTGCCAATCTCGTCAAACACGAGCAATCTGCATAGAATGAGAGGATAAAATGGAAATGTGGAAATGCCAAACGACAGCAACTAATCAATGGACATAATAGTTGATATTGAACAGGTCAAAAGCAACTGCTGTGATCAAATTCGAAATAAAATTTGCTTTAACTTTGCTTCCCGTATGCAGAGATGTTTCGATCAGATCAAATTTTATTTGTGCATTTGAAAAGTTCTTAACTTGGGGTTCTCTCTTCTTTCTCACGGTTGTGTGAGATCCCACGACGGTTGGAGAGGAGAACGAAACATTCTTTACAAAGGTGTGGAAGCCTCTCCCTAGCAGAGGCATTTTCAAATCCTTGAGAAACCCCAAAGAGGACAATATTTGCTCCGCTAAACCTATCTCATTTCAAACCTATACTCAAATTCTTTCACCTAATCACAATATCTCTGAAATATGACAATCTCTCAATGAGTTAAAGCCTATATCCTCGTAGAACAAAAGTATCCCAGTATGTTATGCAAATAATCCAGCCATATGATGGTAGATCTATGTCATAGAGGCTTATTCTACTTAATTGCATTTGAGAATGCATGAAGTAATATGACAGGCACCGAAAAACAACTATATATGACAAAGTGTAAAGATTATTAGCCATTTGAAACATTTCTATGCTGCATCAGGATAACCGATACTATAATCGACATTTCTGCCTAAACTGTAGAGACATCACGGGAATGCATGTTGACATTCCACAACATAGACACTCGGATGGTTGCATGGACTTTGGAGCCCCCATGGGTCAGCCTAAGTCAGTGTATAGCGCCATATGAACAATACGATGCTAAAAGAGAGCGATATCCTCATATTATGCATGTTAGAGTAAGGTATCTGACAAACAAAGATGAAGCGAAGACTATACTCGTTCGATTGGCAGTCAAGATAAGAATCATCAAACCTCTTATGCCCTGTGGAGAAGCCTCTCAATGTAAGTAAATGACGATGGTGCAAGCGTCCAAGGAGCTGCACTTCCGTCTTGAAGACATCGTCATTCAAAGCTCTCAGTTCTTTTACCAATGCAACACTGCCATCTTGAAATTTAGCATTATAAGCAGCACACTGAGGATTGGTGTAGACAACTCTGTTGAACCCACCAGTTGCCCTTTTTATTTCCGTGTACGAAAAACGCCTCACGTATAATATTGGCACTGAAATAGAAAGCCAATTGAGTTATATTTAGGTACTTGTTTCCAGACATATAAAAGTACAAGAACATTATTGCAGGAAATAGGTGATGTGATCTAAATCCATAGGATTTAGAGCGCTGAAAATGAAAAATGCAGAAACAGACAAAACATATCAGCACAAAACATAAAGAAAAAGCCCCTGACGTATATATAGTGTCGCTAAGTGTATGATTGGGTATAATATCGCTCAAATCGATACTAGGTGCCATTTATATGAGCAAGAGCAGCTCATCGACGCCCTTAGAAAATGAGGTGTTGAAATTCGAAAAGTTCATAACATGACGAGAATGAAGGTAAGGAAAATCCTGTAGATTATAACGCAAGATTTAAAATCATTTAAACGTTGAATTCCTCATGTGAAATGCGTTCTTTAGCAATTTTGCTCGTAAAAATATCACGCGAAAGCGCAGTCAACGTCCAATTTCCAAATTCCGATACAGTTCAGAGCCAAGCTACAGAGAAGCATCATAATTCAACCACAACAATCAACAATCGTCTCAAAGCCTCACAGAATCCAATGGACCAATTGACCAAATCTCATATTTGCTTGAAATTCACCAATGCCAACAACATCAAATATGCGAAACACATTACAAATATAAACAAACAAAAAAAGGGCGAAAATCGAAGCGCAGAAGTGAACAAATATGCGAAACACATTACAAATATAAACAAACAAAAAAAGGGCGAAAATCGAAGCGCAGAAGTGAAGTACCAGAACGAGATCGATGAAACCATGCGAGGAGGCGATGCCTGAACCTGTGAATCCAGGGATCCATGGCAGGCAAAATTGAGAACCCTGGTGGGGAAAAATTAATGATGAAACTTCTCCAGCATAATGAATATTGCTACATTCCATTTTGTCGTGGGTGTTTCTCTTATAGACGGTTGGGCAAATCGCACGCTTTATCGGCTGACCTGGGAATTAACAGAAAATGGGTGAGAGAGAAATAGAAAAGCCCTCCTGTCTGTTTGTAGTTGAATTTACCGCTCCAAAAGTTATCGTTACCGTAACTTTATTTGTGGTCATTTCCATTGCTTTTTATTTTTTATTTTAAAGTAAATTGGAATAAACCTTTTCTTTATGTCTTTTCCAACCAACAAAAAAAAAAAAAAAAAAAAAAAAAAAAAAAAAAA